AGTCTGGGACTGGATTTGGCGCGACGCCAGACCGTTTTGCATCGACTGACGATTTGTAGGAAACCGTGATTCAAAAGAATCAGCAGCAGAGGACCAGCTGAGAGTTGGTTGATGGAACACCTGCGAATTGTTGATTCCGCAAAACGGAACGTATACAGTCGTTTTCGCTGCAGATTCCGAGGCGTGTCGGGGGAATAGGTTTGGTGCAGTGCCCGCCCGTTTCTCACCGAATGTTGTTGCTTGCCCTCTTTAACATTTGGTGGAGAAGGGGCTGGCGATGCATCAACCCAGCCTCCTGGCGCGCCTCACCGTCTGCAGCCATAAGGACTCCTTACACGCATTCGCCAAAATCGCCAATTCTTCTGCACATTCGCAAAGTATGAACGCGACCTTGGCATGCCCCCGAATAGACGACTCACTTTTTGAATGGTTACGGTTCCGTTAGATGGCCGAATCATCACGGCATCGCATTGATCAACATTTCTCACAACGCCGCCAGTGGCGCTTGCGTCAATCGGAAATTGCAGTGGCGGAACATCGAAAGCGATCCCATCGGAAATGGGTGACAGTCCAGGATGTGACGCTACCTGTGGTCGTACTCAGTTAGTCATAGGATATTCACACAAATCAAAGATAAACTCACCACTTTATACCTTCCATCTCGATCGGGGATGAAATCGTAAACGAACGTGTCACCACTAGACTTCACAGAGACTTGCCTGGGTTCTTCGTCGTCCCTTCGCTTTATCCATAATGTGACAGGAGCTGAGAAGTTTCCCTGAAAAAAGGGCTCTCAGGCACTTCGGGGCTCTCCTAAAAGAAGCCCCTGGGATTAATAACACAGAAGCCTCGCCTTCATAACCCCTTCGCCTCCACCTTCGGCGATACGGGAACGGCAGGAAGCTCCAAACCTTGTGTTAGTTGAGCGCGATGATGCATTTGTGCACTACTCTTGGTGGGCATTTTGGGATAACAGAGCCCCAGAAGTGAAAGTGGCGTGGTATGACATTTTCTCGAGCCCTAATGCCAGAAAGGAGCTTGGAAATGGTAGCGTTGTGCTAGTATAATAGAATCGCTTCGTTACGGTCCATTTGTCCAGCTTCAGCATAAGCCAGTTGTTTTTCATCCTGTAGGGTCGGCTAACACCTATAGCCCTTTAAATTATGGGATACGAGCACCTGTACTGGTGCAGAGGACAAATGCAATGACAGACCCGTGTGGGAGTCCAGGGCTTGTCGTACGCTGGGGTTCCAGGGTGTGGGGGAGGGGGTCGTAATTGATCGCTGGAGAGAGGGGGGTCGTGATTGCCTTCGAGAGGAATTTTCCGTAGCGTTGACTTCGATCCGATGTTCCCATTTCATGTGCACTACGCCCGAACCCTTCCCCCACCCCCCCTCGACGGTAGTTTTTTGCGGGAAACTTCGGCAGAAGTGGTAGCACGTTGAGCTGATTCAAAAAGATGGCAGGTAAAATGGGAAGGAAGATAGTAGGTAAGATAGATAAGGAGATGGTAGGCAAGGTGGATAGGAGATGGTAGGTAAGATGGGGATGATGAAAGGGGCGTCGCAATACAAGACAAACTTTTGAGAGAAGGGGGAGGGTCGTATTGAGGAAAATTCACCCCCAACAGCAGGACCTGCCCTGAGGAGTGCGAGGCGGAACTGTGTAGAAACCTTGAACTAAAGGCAGTTGGCACGATAAATTCTTCAAGACGAGTAGGATTGATACCCGTGGCCAGGCGGAATTCCGCGACCCTGAGCAGGAGCTGTGTGGTTTCTCCTAGGGAGGTACCCTTATAAGGGTCCTATCAAGCTACAACATACCGACCCAAACGCCCACCACGCCCGCCCGCCCACAAATGGACGACCGTACCTGATGCTCGTTTGCTTCATTTGCTAAGTAAAATATGAAGCGAAGGGATTGGTATGAAGCGGCTGCGGTGCTGAATGGATATATGAGTACATACATGCAGCCGTACCTACCGTAGCGGTTATTTGCAATATGCACATGCCTCGCAACATGGCTACGGGAAACTCGTCCAAAATTGTCTTTTCAAGAACGAAGGTTTTTCTTCGCAGTTTTCGACCGTTTCACTTCGGTTCTTCGCCGTTTTCCCACTAGATAGCGACCTGCTAGCATTCTGGGCTGACTTTCAGGCAAGATGTTTTGGTCTTGCCAACTGCCTTTAACTGATGAACTTGTTGCACAGTTTCTCTCGCGAGTCCAAAACTGCCCGAATGCACAGTGTCAAGCCTTAAGTCGGGCCCTGGAACGAGCGAAGAAGCGTCTTTCGCGACTCTCGAAACTAATCTGTCTCACCTCTCACTTGCAGGCAGGTTTTCCAATGATTCTCAGCGTATTCGATCCAGTTTGATTATCAACTGCAGTCACTTCAGCGATATATGACGGTTCTACCGTAACGTTCCATGAAATACTGCTACTACCTGAAGCAAACAGCTTTTCAGTCTATAGAATCGTCTTCAAAGGAACGGTCCGCAATGACCTATGAAAGTGAGAAGACTGTTGTGGGGAGGGGGAGGGGAGGTAGTGTGGTCCGCAGTGCAACCATGTGCCAGTTTCACGGTCGAAGTTGTAAAGTGTAGGAGTTTATGGTGCAAAACTGCTTCAGTGGCACCTTCTTTCTTCCAGTGACTCCCGCCTTCGAAGCCCGCGCTTCAACCTAAAATCGATGTCTACGGAATCAAGCAGATAAATAGTATAGATCGTCATGTGGGGTTCGAAGAGGCTGCATTACAGAAGGAGTCAGCAAACTAGAGTCGCTTCGAACGGACGTGGCCGTTCCAGTTGCACACAATGCAATTTGTTTTGGGGCTCTCAGGGGGTTAATTAAAGGTGTCCTTCCGACGTTTCCTTTAGAAAATTTTTCTTCCTCACGAGATGATCGCTCGGCACTTTCCTTCCACATCCAAGCAACACCTACTCTCTCCCCCCCTCCGTGCGCATACATTTCGCCATCCCGCGCCGCAACTGATCAGGGACGAACGTATCGCCTTTATACCTCTAACCAAAATATTTTTTCGATAGGTCTAATGTAAACGTACCAGACAACGAATTCGAGTTGACTGTGATTAAGTACGGATGGGCAGATCCTATTGGCTCTTTCCATTCAATAATTCCTCGGGTCAGGTCGAATCGTAGGTCGGTCATGTTCGAATTCACTACGTTTGTATGCGACCGGATGGCTGCGAATAAATTATTGGACTTTTTGAAAAGTATGTTTAACAAGCAAAGAGGGAAACTAGGCTAGCACTCACCATTGTGGGTAAGACAACTATGTACGGTGTGCCTTCACTAGCCACGCCGGCATTTTGGTTTTCTATGAAGCGCCGATCGATCGTCGGTATACGATTTCTGAAAGGAACTACACTGCAGGAAGTACGGATTGAAGGCCCTTGATTGAGTCCAGTGACGAGCAGTATCAGACGCGCGCTGTTGCGACGCGGTTCAAACAGTGAATTATGTAAGAGAAAGGTCAAAAAGGTCATGGGGTGGGGTCATAAAGCTATAGCCAGTCATCAATGGGATGCCAAGTTATGGGTAAAGTCTGACCCAAGGCGGGGACGCAAACTAGCACTACAACGCGGTGCTCCCGCCCGATATTATCTACCCGTGCGAGTTACGCTATGCCGTTAACCAGCTGCTCCTTATTTATCCCCCTATAAGGCTCATGGCTTTTGGCTATAATACTGCGGAGCCTTTAACGGCGCCCGTAAGGGAACGACGCGCACTCGGAACAGGTGCGGGTTTGAGTTCCACCTGGGATCAAGACTTTGCCCACACACCATCCTTGTGATGACTTTTGGGACGCGAGCTGCTGAGTTAAACAATGGTATGATACTAAAAACAAGCTACAACCATACTGCACTTACAGTCATGGTCCCTGCAAACGATAGGGCGTGTGATGGGGCATGGATTGGAGCGCTGCCAAGGCGGTCTTTTTCACCAATGATGCTGCAACAACTGGCGGGAAAGGCTGTTCTAACAGCGATCCAACTCGCGCCCTTCACAACCCTTATCGTTCGCATAGTCATGCCCATTATCTCAGAGAACTCACCAATAATTTCGCAGTTTATTCCGGTAGTACCTTTGGGGCAAACACAAAGTGGCCCAATACAAACTCCTTTACACAGAGCTGCTGAGCATGAGTCAAACACAGTGAAGTGAATCTGGAAAAACGTTATTGGGTTCATTTTGAAGACTTTCCCACCAGCAGAGGAATCTCCCCACCCCCACATGAACTCACCGGACGAACGTCAAAATTAGGAATCACGGATATCGAGCCTTCTGGAGCCAGATTAAACAAATGACGACCAATGCTCAGATCCTTAGGCACATGACATCTGACCACTGAAGAACTGATACGTCGCCCTTCAGCATACGAAGCGCCAAAAATGCACGTGTACAGTTGGGAGGGGGTTCTGAAAAGGATTCATGATAGGAAGGTCGCACATATGCTCCATAACCCGCATAACGGGTGGGCGTGGCTGCGTATTTCCCTTGAACATGGCGCAAGATGAATAGTTCCATTTGAGACAACCGCTATTCTATCTAGCGCTGGATAAGAACATGACTACAGTCGTCCTAAAACGAAAATATCCCACCGGAAATAGAGCCGCCGCCACGTTCGAAAAATTGCACAGTCACGCCCCCTTTATCTCTGGGATAGGTAGCATATATGCCACAAACAGTACAGCAACTCACTTGGGAAACTCAACACCAAAAACATTCACGACGATGTTGATATCCTCACGGTCGGCCGTCGACGGTAAAATGTACAGCACGCTGCTTTTTACCTGACAGTTGGCCGATCGACAAATGTCGCATGCAGCTCCTGACCAGCCACGGGCGCAGGAGCACGTTCTAAACTCGGCTTTATGAGACTATTTAGCGCTTAAAATGCGATTTCTCAGTACCTGGTTTCGCGCTCACATATTCCATGCACGCAGTCAAAATCACATGTTTGACACACTGGTCCTCGACAGATAGAACAGTCCTGAAAGAGAGTAGCGTCCGCTGTAAATGTCTTAACAGCACAGTTCGGCTTGGAGGGGGGGGCACCGAATAGCACTCGGCTAAGCTTGTGCAGAACGCCCTGTCGAGGCCTGTAAACTCCTGCGACCAAAGCGGCCCATTCGAACAGTTTCGCTGCTTCACAGGAGTTTACAGGCCTGACCAAAATGTGAACTCTTAGCTAACGAGACCATGACAAAAGAAGTGATGGAAGATCAAAATGCATCTCTCGCAAGCTAAACAGCGCCTATCCACTCTTTTCAGTAATAACAGAAGCACGAGTTTTCCCACTAGCGGTCGAGCTTGCCAGCCTTGAAAACGCGGAATCTATTCGTGGATGCGGCCTTTGTGAGAGGGCTATTATTTTTTTCGAACTTCTTTTTTCTTTTCTTTTTTCTTCTTTCTTCTCTTTTATTTTTCTTCTTCTTTTTTCTAAGTTTCGAAGAGTCTACCTCTCCTTGATATCCACCAAAGCATCGGCATTGGTCCGGTGCCACGCAGTACCCATTAATGGTGCAGTTCTGACAAATCGGTATAGAGCACCTAGAAGATCCGAGGAACAATCCACGCTGAAAAGCGATCTTCTACAGTGACATACCTTGATCCCCTCCAGCCCTCCGTGCACTGACATTTCGATGCAACACAGGTACCATGAACGCAAGACCCATTTGTACATCCTATTTGATCGCAAAATTCACCTAGAAATCAAGTCTTCTTGGGAAAAATTATTGAAATATCACCCGGTGAAAAATGAATCTTACCGCTCCATCCTTCATGGCATTCGCATTCATCTCTCGATACACATTTCCCATGGCCATTGCAGTCGTAGCGGCAAATCGGGGTCGAACAATCGGCAGAAGTCCAACCTTTAACAGGCTTATCATCTCTCCCCATATGGGATGTTGCCCAAAACGCACTAGCTGATGGGGTCTACTTGGCTGCGCACCAATGTGTTCGCTTCTCCCTCCGAGCTTAGCCTTGGAAGACGATAACAGTGCGAGACAGAGAAGTCCCTCGGATTCTCTTGGGAATCATTTGACTGCAGTTCAGGAGCTCACGCCTTTTCCTTCTCAGGGGAGCGGACAGTGTCGCGTGAGCGCTTCCCCCATCAGTAGCTGTAGTGACTCTCGAAAATGCTGCAGGAAAAAGGAGACGGTGGCGACCAGTACTGGCTGCTAGAGCCAACGATGCGAAAAAGGCCTCTGACCGTGTAGGACTTTTTCTGCAAACCATACTCGTGGTAAAAAAGCGCTCAAAAGTGCAGCCATGAATCCTGCAAACGATAGGGTGTTTGACGCGACGCGGATTGGAGCGCAGCCAGGGCCTGTCATGACCCTCAGTCATGATATCGATGATGCACACTAGCACCATTGGTGCCGGCGTTTTGCAATCGTAACCTGACTCATGCAGTCCGCCTAGGAGGCGGGAGACGATTGTACCGCCTACCTGCACCGGTATATATACCGCCCCTTTTGGCTGTATATATGCCGCTGCCTGAGAGGAGCGAGGCTCAGTCCTACCCTTCGTTTTCCGCAAGTGGCGGTAACACCGGCGGCGGCGGACCCGCGGCGGACGCCCAGTCGTCCAACACTACGGTAACGAACAAGTCACACTGCGCCACGAACGGCTCACATACAACAAGGTTCAGCATGTCTGTGTTATGTCTTCTTTGCGGTTACATTCATTGTATATATAATGTGTAACACTTATACAGGGGGGGGGGCAAAAAAAGTCACTTTGCTTCATTGACTTTCGAGGCGCTATAAGTTACACTTTATCAAATTCTGATCGGACATTTTTACACCATATTGAAGAGCATATTAAATACTATCATGACACTCCGCCACAGCCTTCTGGACGAACGCCATCGAGAGATTCTGGCACGCGACCGCGATGTGGTACCTGAGATCAGCGGGGTAGTCGATTTCTCCGCCACCGTAGACCACCCTATTGAACTCCGCCCGAACTAGGTAATTGAGTGGGTTCAGGTCAGGGGACATACTTCAATATTACATCTTCTTCAGGTACGAAACGCCCTTCCATTCGAAGTAGGCGGGAGTTTTTCCAAAACCCTTCGATTCCATGTGGTGGCACCCAAACCTGTAGCAGCACAAGGTCTCCAAGAAGGTACGGCGACCACATGTAGGGAGGATATTCTTCTCGAGTTACTTGATGTAACCGCCAGCGCTCACCTTCAGTCGGGGTCTACAAAGAAAATATCGGTCTTCCCATTCCAGGTACCCGTGCCTATACCACAACACGCCCTCGCGAGCTATCGGTATAGATGATCTCCTAGACCGTAGCGAAGTTGACGAAGCTGCTCGATGTTGGGGGTCATCCAGATTGAGAATACTAGTCTCCAAGTAGCTATCCATGGGTGACTAACCTAGAAAGATTGCAGCCAGTTTGGAGGTGAATGAGTTCCGAAGCCTTCTTCAGGTCAGTTGGCGACTGGAGAATGAACTTCATATTTTGGTGTACTGAAGCGTGTGGCGTGGAGCCAGTCCTCTTATAGGTACTCTTGGTATCTCGGCGTCTCTACTCCGTATCACTTCCTCGATCTGCTGCAAAAACTTGTATATATGTGACTGGTCAAAGTGACTTTTTTTTGCCACCCCTGTAACTAATGTCAGTAAACTTATGTAGATAAAAATTAGAAGTCATAGTTGTTTACTGCATTCCTACCACTTCGTAACCACCAAAATCCCACTGGACCGTGATGCAGTTCAAACAGGGCACGCCTTGTTTGGACCTGATGAAATCCTGAATCCAGTTGACAGGTTTGAGATCTTGGCTGTGCTCAAAGCCGCACCACCGCCATACGGCCTATCTATTACAGGGGATCGTTGAATTCTGGAGGGGCCCTTTTCTGAAGAGGAAAATTAGAAAAGAAGCACTCACCGTCATAACAAACGCACTTGTTCGTAATGTCACAAACTCCATTTCTACTGCAATTCCCTGGACAACCAATCATAACTGAGCAATCCAAACCGCTTCGACTGGGTGGACAAACGCAGACTCCGCCTTAACAGTTTCGGTGGAAAACAAAGAGCTTGTAATCCATCATCTAAAGCTACGTCAAGCTTTCCGGTAAGCCTTATAGATGGGATGAGTTTGCTCTATTGATAGTTTTTGGTACCGGTAGAAAGTACAGTTCTTAGTTCCATATTTAAGGGGGAGTTGTCAGGAGGCGTGGAAATGAGCCCACCCCTGGCTGCGTATTCTACCAATAGTGAGTGGTTCCAGGAGAAAGCAACCAGTGAGAGGAAACGCAGCTGCGGGCTCATTCCACGCCTCTTGACTCCGCCCCTACTGACTGTGAACATATCAGCTGTGCGCTCGACAGTCCTTTAGAAAGTCCTTCCTGGCCTTGGGTAGGAATACTGTCACATACCTGCGCATGTACCAACACCTGAGCAGAAGTTCAAATGTGAGCATTGGCTATTGTCCGAGTTCGGAAGGATCGGAAGTTCAGGTTTCTTCGCTACCTCCGCACGAGTACCCTCCAGCGTCCCTGAAATCCAACTGTTCATTGTGCATGACAGGTTCTGGGCTTAGGTTGCCAGATCTACTGGACAGCTCCTGAGATGGGACTCATTATGACGGATTGGATAGGGAAAATTGGATGAAATTTTGAAGTGGTAGAAAAAATATCACAATCATTGTGGTATGGTTCTGTCCCGGGCCTTAATGAGATGAAAAAATCTTTGTCAAAGTTTCCATACAAAATGAAGGCTTTTGCTTGTAAGTGTCTCTGCGTCTCTATTCACCACTAACTCGTCCAATGACGGAAGCTACTCGAGCCTTTGAAGCGTATTCAAATACTATCAGTTAGTAACCAAAACTTATACGTGGCCACCTCTAGCCAGATTTGCACTCGCGAGTCGTACCTTTAACCTCCAGTTCAGAAAAAAGTGTTCTTTCCATCACTAATTTATGGGAAGGTGGATTATATATACGTATCCAACGAAATTCAGAAATTTTTGAAGACTCCGGCCTCAGGAAATAAACCGAAGAATGCCACGCTGACAGCAAATTACCTTCAGGTGCTTTGATTGCCTTCCTCATGTCAGTCGTGCTCCAGCCGTTCCCTGTAGCTTGAAGTTTCTGGAAATATTTCTCTAGAAACTCTATTATAATGTTCTGTTATATGCCTAAAATGATACTGTAGCAACCTGGCCGGGGTGTCAGGAGATGTGGAATGAGCCCACGCGCGGCGTTTCCTACCAGTGGCTAATGAATCCGCCATTGATGAAAAAATGGAAATGAAATCGCGGCTGTGGGTGGAATCATTCCACGCCCTACTTGATTGCGACGAATCAACTATTTTAAATTATAGTATGTTTAGCACTATTATAAATTGTTTCTAATTTCATCTTGAGTGACTATTTCTTCCTCTGCCATAGAGCTGGCTCTGGAATTTACCTCTCAGTAATATTTGCGACTTATTGTTCCAAATTATGGAGCTTACCCATGATCCGTCCGAGCGGACATCGAGTTCGTGAGCTGAAAGCGGATTTGAAAACTGGTTCCTTTCAATACGGTAATACGGTGACGCTACGACCACCGACGCGACCGAGTTGATATTGTCTAAAAGATATTCTGCAGTTGGAAGACGGGAAGTTTGCACTATTTACCTTTACTGCCCCAACAGTCGGAATGTTGGTCAGATTTTCATCAAAACTTCCCCTCGTGGGTAGGTTCAGGATTCCAGCACCTAGGGTAGTTTGACTCCTTGAATTGGCTTGAAACTGCCTGGCGCCAAAACCCTCCAAAACACGA